TATATCATGTTATGAATAAACTAAACATTTTGAATTTTTACCTCAGTGTGTTTCTTCTGAGTTTATGTGTGCTGTCACGCTCATTTGTTCTGAAGTCTCGAGACAAACAGTGAGCCTCAGCGTGAGCTTGTATTCTGTTAACTTACTTACGTTACCGCGGGGAAGAAAAAATCTTCGGTCTGTCCAATGATTGTAAACAGTCATTAGGTCCGTCAGACTTAAGATATTTTAGCAGTAATGTGACCAAAAATATTTAAGACCAATCGAATCCGAATGTAAGTCATTTTAAGACTTTTTAAGTCCTTATATTAGGAAAACGTTATTTAAGACATTTTAAGACTTTTTAAGGACCCGCGGACACCCTGGCTATGCAGACAGTAAATGATGATGCATGTCAGAGAATGACAGGGAAGATGGGTCTTAAAGGTGTGATTGAGCAATGTTTGCATTTGAGGCACACATGAGTGTTTTCTAACTTACCGAGCAGGGAGGTGGAATCTTTGCTGAGAGTGGCGGCCACAGACGGGTCCACGGGTGGTTGACCATCTCCTGCGGGCAGCTCGGGCCGGGTATAATCCCGGCTTTTGTCATTGTTGTATTTTACGTTCAGGTTGACCAGCTTGGAGAAGTCGATACGCAAAGTGCAGCAGGAGTTGTATATGTTCTGACCATCCAAGGACTTCAATGAAAGGAAGCGAAAAAGAAAGACAGAGGATGAGAGCAAGACATTTGTTATTCTGTGACATGGGTGAATAAGGATAAGAATAATTACAGCCAGTGCATAATGTAGGGCCCTGGCTCAAAGCAATAAAAACAGTCCTCTACAAGTAATGACAACTGCAGTCATTTCATCACATAAATGAAAGAAAGGTACTAAACCAACATATGACTGGATCATAATTTGCCTGTGGCCATAACCATCACATTAAAAATCTCATAACAGTGCTTTGGCACATCATTACACATTTATGGAGTTTTGCGGTGGTTTTAATCCTCCTTTTCGTTCACTCACCAGTTTGGCCTGCTGGGCATTCACTGGGTCACTGAACTGCAGAAGAGCCTGGAACTGATTATTTTTGGTAAATGTGATTATCTTCATGACAGTCCCAAACTTAGAGAAGATCTAAGAGAGATCAATGCAAAGTCCTGTTAATTCAGAGGCATGAGTGTTTAAAAAAACATTTAGCTTGCTTTTTTTAAATTGCAGTTTATTCCAGATGGATGCCTGCTGTGGCCAGTGACCTGTTGGAGGACGTCCAGGGTGACTGGGTAGAACATGTTGTCGATGATTATTCGCAGTACTGGGCTGGGAGCAGGCGTTAACACACTCTCGCCTGCGACCGAGCTTGGAGAGCCACCCTCCTGGACCGCGGACACCGCCTGCAGCACGGCCTGAGCTCGCTTCAGAAGGAAAGCAGGGCAACCGATTAGGACCAGAACTACGTTTATTACACACTTCTGTTGCTGATATCATTTTAGTTATGAAAAATTAAAACAAGAAGGGGTGCATTTTCTAACCTGGTTGAGCGCACTGTCAGTCTTGAGCTCTTTGTGGTTGGAGTACTGAATGAACACTGGGACATTACGCACTTGAGGTGTAACAGCTGTGTAGTAGTTCACCATAGTAACAGCTGCTTCCTCTGTTCCTAGCTCCAAAAATGCCTAATTGAGGAAAAGTGTTCAAAATGAAGAAACAGACTCTTTTTCCAAATGAATGAGCAAAAACTTTGTTCACCCAATTTGAAAAACAGCTTTAACAAGACATTTTAAACACTAAATAGAATTTCAGAAGATCTATCTCCTTGCTATTACAACAGGAGCTTGGTTTAATGTCCCTCACCACCATCCCCCATCACATACCTGATTTTTGCCTTTAAGCATCAGGATATTAGTGACCTTTCCAAAGGGCAAACCCAGGGCGATGACCTCAGTCTCAGAAACCTCATTGGGGAGTTTCCGGATATGAATGACTCTGGATGGTGGGCTATCCATGCTGTCCTCCACCCTTAGTTTCTTACTGTCACTTCCATTAGCTGTCAAATAAATCAGAAATACACCTGCACTTCAAAACTTCGTTTTTATTTGGTTTTATCAGGTTTATATGATTTATATGATTTAAAATATATATATATATGTAGGACATTAAACATGCATGCATCAGTCCAAAAGAAGATAAATAAAAAGCGCCCATCCATAAAACAATTGCGTTTTTGTAAGAAAAATATCCATATTCAAAACATAATAATCACTTTAATGTAGCTTGCGCCAACAGTTGTACACGGAAGCAGCTCCAGGCGGATGACGGATGAGGTCAGCTTTGCACATGCGCCGCTCAGAAGTGACGCACGCGGAAGTGCAGGGGAGAGATCAAAACAAAACATGAGTACAAGTACAAAACGAGGATTTGTAAAGAAGAATGTCAGAGAATTTCGATATAAGCCAAGAGGAGACTGGTTTTCCTTTGCTAAGGAAACTTTGCTTCCTTTGCTCCTGTTAACAAACATTGGTTTTCACGAGACTCACCAGCGCATGCGCAACGCTGAACTCATACGTCATCCGCCCAGAGCTGCTTCCGTGTAGGACTGTTGGCGCAAGCTACATTAAAGTGATTATTACGTTTTGAATATGGATATTTTTCTTACAAAAACGCATGAATTCGCTACAGGAGGACTTTGTTCACCCCCCGGAGCCATGTGAGACACTTTTTTTATGGATGGGTGCTTTTTATTTAACTTCTTTTGGACTAATGCATGCAAGACCCGCTGAGTGGCATTAAACAGCTTGAAAGATTAAAGATAATTTTTAATATAACTCCGACTGGATTCATCTGAAAGAAGAAAGTCATATACACCTAGGATGACTTGAGGGTGAGTAATTTGTGGGCTAATTTTCATTTTTGGGTGAACTAACCCTTTAAATCATTATATTTTTGATGCTGTTAGCATATTTTATGAAACCTTGCCAGGTATATGCAACAATTTTATAAAGGCAATAAGCCCTATAAAACCCATGGTTTGTAGCGATTTAAGAGGGGTACGTCCCACATGTGGGATTGTTATTTCTGTGACCCTAGGAGTATAGTCCCACATATGGGATTTAGAATGTTCAGTGATGTCACATAACCGCCAGATTCAAATGTGCTTCCGTGTTTCAGCTGGCGCTGAGCCAGAGACGGATGAAACACAAATTAAGATCTTTTTGATCAAATCCGATGGCTCATGGCTCCATTGACAGCAACGCCACCCAAACTCTCAAGATCCATAAAGGTACTAAAGACGTCGTTAAAACAGTCGACGTGACTACAGTGGTTCTACAACAATTTTATGAAGCGACGAAAATACTTTTTGTGCGCAAAAACAAAACAAAAATAATGACTTTATTCAACAAACTCTTCTCTTCTGTGTCGTTCTCATACGTTGTTTATGTCCAGCACTTCCAGGTTCTACGTCAGAACGCCGGCTCATTATTGGAATAAAGTTATTATTTTTGTTATGTTTTTGCGCACAAAAAGTATTCTTGTCACTTCATAAAATTATTGAAGAACCACTGTAGTCACTAGGGCTGTGTATCACCAGCAAAGTCACGATACGATACGTATCACGATACAGATGCCACGGTACGATACGTATCACGATACATGACTGCACTGAATTTCACCTCAGCAGAATTTAGTAAAACAGCTGTTTATTAAACACTGCATACTATAGGGCCATTTCTAACTATAGGCAGAGCAGGCAGTTGACCACGTTATAAAGGGCCTCCATAACTGTACCACAGTA